GTTGGAGATGGTTGTGAGGGAGATGGTTTTTGGGGGTTAGGGTGTAATTGGCTGGATTTTGGGGGGGTTGGAGATGGTTGTGAGGGAGATGGTTTTTGGGGATTAGGCTTTAATTGGCTGGGTTTTTGGGGGGGTTGGAGATGGTTGTGAGGGAGATGGTTTTTTGGGGCTAGGGGTCAGTGGTGCCTGTTTGATGTCGGAGTGAATCACAAGGGGAGTCGGTGACGCTGGGGGCGGTTTGTCCCGGTCCCCGGTCCTGGGGAGGGTGGGGGCGGAGAAGGCCCGGCTCCTCCCCGCGGTGATGACCTGCTCCGGGCGCTGTCTCGGCTGTGGATGCGGCTTCGATCCGGGGGTGGTACCGTCCGAGAGTCGGCGCCTTTCCACCGCCAGCCTGGTACAGAGCGGGGACTCAGCGGAGGATTCCGAGATGGTGGTGAATGTGACCATCGAGTATTGGTCCGTACCGGTACCGGGGCCGGGGCCGGGGCCGGGGTCGGGGTGGGGCAGAGGGACTCGGGTGAAGGGTGTTCGGCCCCCGAGAGGGGAAAGGAGCTGACGCGGACCGAACATGGACTTTAATTTAAAAAAAACTTAAACATCAGGAAAAGATCTTTCAACTTTCCAAATAAACTGGCATCAGAAATAAAAGTTTATTGTTTCGTTTTGGGATTCAGGATCCATGCATTAAATGTTTGATTGAAATGTTGAGTTTTTAAATGTTGAATCTGAAACTGAGAACAGAGAACCAGCTGGGACCGATTGCAGGACAGTTAGTATTTGACACTGAACATTTCAGAACTGACTATCTTTGTCACTCTCTCCCCCAGTTCAGGATGAGGCTTCCTCGCCCATTTCCTGACTCTTGCTGATGAAATCAGGGAGCAGGTTCCAGGTGTCCACGTTACTGGGTTTATTGGGCAAACAGGTGAGTGAGACACTTTGTACAAGAACTTGTTCAGACTTGAGCCAAGCAACTGTGGTGAGGCAGAAACTTTGTGCTAATGTAAAGTCAAATTCCTGCAGATGCTGAAATAAAAGCAGAAAATGCTGGAGAAACTCAGCTTCCCAGTAAGTCACCGGAATCGAAACGTTAACTCTGTTTCTCTCTTCACACATGTTGCCAAACCTGCTGAGTTTCTCCAGCACTTTCCGTGTTTTTATTTGCGCTAATGTTTTCTGTCCTGGTTATAATTTCATAAAATTTTCTGTCTTGCCGCCTCTCGGTTATCTGTCTGCCTTCACTAGATTATCCCATAACGTCATTTTGCAGCATATTCTCCAATATCCATATTTTCTTGTGAATGTGTATTTCACATTCTGTTAAGTAGCAGACAGTTTCTTGCCACGTGCACCCACTGAGGTACCTGTGTTTCAGACTTACCATTGTCAATGACCTGTCCTTACTGCTGTCCTTTCCACGTGCTTGATGAGCCAATTATAAACAACAGGTTTTTCAAAAAACCCGTCGCTTATTGCATTTAAACTGGCCATCAATGTTTCTGCTCAGACCCAGATCAGCTCACAATATTTCCATTTGTTGAAATACGTTTGTACCTGCAGTTTGTTTCGTGTTTTACAGTTGTTGCTCTGGTTCACATAATTTCTGAAAGTTACTTTTCTTTCCATTTCTTTCTCAGGAAGTTTTGAGGTTTCAATTAATAACAAGCTGGTTTTCTCGAAGCTGGAATCAAATGGGTTTCCTTATCATAAAGATGTAAGTCAATCGTTTAAAAATATTTTTTATACAGAATCAAAACGCGAGAAACCTTATGACCCAGTCATGATAACAGCAGCTTCCAATTGCCCTCTGACCCAGCACTCCGACCCTGAATGCCAGGTTCCATTACCTCACAGGGCACCATTCTTCACAATGCCTGAAGATCTGCAATTGGCTGTTTCACAGCAGAAACCCCTCACAACCCTGGCCAGGCACCATCCTCAAACTGAGGACAGGCTGACATAGCCACCGCTCCATCCACTACCACACAATAGAGTGTAATAAGATTGTTAATCTGAGGAGGGTATGAGACAAATAGCCTGTGTCAGAAAAAAAATCATGAAGAAAGGAATGATAAACCACAATGTTTCTTGTTGAAATGAGAATTGAACAGCTTATTAAATAATTAAATTGGAAGATTAATTGATTGCAGAATAATGAATGCAATTGTTCTGAAATCATTTTTTAAACATTTGGAGGGCAGTACCAGGTGCTGCAACAGTTTCTGGGCAGATGAACTCCTTCTGTGAGGCAGTTCAGAGAAGGTTCATGAGGATGATCCTGGTATGGAGGGATCTCCTTATGAGCAAAGGCTAAACAGGTTGGGACTGTACTCACTGGAGTTTAGAAGAATGAGAGGTGATTCCATTGAACCATATAGAATTCTTAAAGGAGCTTGACAGGGTAAATGCTGAGAGGATGGTTTCCTTTTTGGGAGAGCCCAGGAACAAAGGGCATCGTCTCAGGATAAAGGGGCATCAATTATAGACTGAGACAAGGAAGAAATTCTTCTCTGAGGATTAAGAGCCTTTGGAACTCCTTACCACAGCGAGTTGTGGGGGCAGAGTCCTTACATATATTTAAGGCTGAAAGAGAGATTATTGATAAGTAAGGAATTGAGGGTTATGGGGAAAAGGCAGGAAAGTGGATGTGCAAAGCCATAATCCTTTGAATGGCCGAGCAGCTTGAGAAGCTAATGGACCAACTCCTGCTATTTCTTACAGTCTTCTTATCACTATCCATCAACCTGGCAAAAATAAACTGGATTTTGGTGGAGAAACTGCCTGTATTTTATATAGATGATCTGTCAGAAATTTTAAAACAAAATACTTGCCCAGAGCAATTAGAGGGTAAAATGTCATTCTGAGGCATTGATGCAATGAGGAAAAGCAATTAAATAATGGAGGAGCAAGCTTTCTCAGTAAACCTGGACCTGAGGGCATGAAAGCATCACTTAAGCAGCCATCCCCCGTTTCCATTGGCCTTAGGTGAAGGTGAGGCCATTTGCTCGATCTCATCAAACGTGTGGGTCATTCTGAGAGTGCAGGACTGGATTGTCTCAGACTTTAAACAGGAAATGGGAGGAGATAGAGCATCTCACAGTGACTGCAGTAATATGGATATTTAATAACCTGCTGTTGTGTAAGGTTCTAGCAACTGACATGAAGTTTTATTACTTACTGATGCTTATGTTTTTCATCTTGGTTTATTTCCATCAGATCATTGAAGCAGTAAAATTAGCAAAAGAAGGGGCTACTGTGGAGAAAATAAATTCCCAGGAGCAGATTCGTACTGAGAAGCGAAGCTGTGTCATCGTATAATGGAAACCAAATGATGGTCAAACCCCTGATATAATTTGACAGCTTTCAAACAGTGAAGCACCACTCTGTTCATGACTGTTTTCCCCAAAAGTTATCGGTGAAAACATGAATAAGCATCAGAAGGTGTGCTCCCTGATTTGGAATCTGTTAAAGATTTTCAGGCATTGGTCTTTTACAGAGAGAAAAACTGGTTTAATATCATCACAATTAAATTGTATTTGTCTAATCATTCTCATTCTGTTCCCATGTTAAGCAGCAGGAAAAATGATTCAATGTCTTATTAAGATCACTCAGAGTTAGCGTCCGAGCCACTCAACTCAACTGACCTTGGGGTCCACCTCAACCACCTCAACTTTCAGGAACCTCCTTGACCTCAGTGCTGACGTCAATCTGTCAAATTACACTTGCTCTTAAAGCTGATGTCACAAGTTTGTAACATCAAAGGCTGACAATGTAAAACCTTCCTGGTGTCCTGAATGGGAGCTTGGCTTTTCTGTAGGTGTTTGAGAGATATTATTATGAATGTGAGCTGAGTGGCCCACCATTCACATTACTCGCTGTGGTGTATAGTGTGTGGGCTGTTAAAAAATCCCAAAATAAAAGCCAGAAATTGCTGGAGAAACTCTGGGTCTGGCTGCATCTGTAAAGAGAGAAACAGTTTAACAGTTTGAGTTCAATTGAAGAGTTTTATTTAGCTGTACAATTGGTAGAGACAGGAACACTCATACCATTTAAGACATATTTAGATGTGCACTTGTGATATCAAGGCAATGGGCAATGTGTTAGAAAATGGGATGTGAATAAGTGGTTGTTCTCAACTGACTCAAACTCAATGGGCCAAAAGTCCCTTTTCTCTGCTGTAGACCTCTGGTTATCAGACTTGAAACATTACCTCTGTCCTCAGATAGTATCAGACCTCCTGAGTGTCTCCAGCATTTTATGCTTGTTTCAGATTTTCAGTATCTGCACTATTTCGTGTTTAATTGGCATCATAAATATTTGATAATATCCAGCAATAGAGTCAAAATCTAAGTACTTTTACTTTTGATTAGTTTTACTTTCCTTTCTGGATTGGACACACCACAATTAAATAAATATTGCTTTCAGTCCAAATGCTTGTCTGTTTTGAGTAATGAACAATAGTAAATGTTCAACCAACTGGTGTCTGGTAACCAGACTCGGGTGTGACTGCTGTAGACCAGGTTCATCATATAGACCCTCAGGTGCTGTAGAGACCAGGAACCGCCTTTTATCTACATTTGGACAAACACCTGAAGGGGATTTTCAGACAGATGGGCAGCAACCTTTACCCCAGAACTAAACATCTGAGTTTCTTGAACTTACAACAAACTGCCTGTCTGTAGGACACTGGTAGCTAAGATATCTGCAGGTTTTTCTCACCACACAAATACAGGTTGTTCTGAAAGTGGTCCCATACAAACAAACAACTGGACAATCAGATAAGGTCGACCTAGTACCTCATTAGGATGGTCCATCAGTGGCACCTTCTGCAAGAGAAACAAATGGAAAGGTCTCGGTGAATTCCTCTTTAAAGCTGCACTGATCTGTTGTTTGCTTTTATATTTTGTAGTTCTGTCCCCCCAACTCTCCAATCCTGATACAACCCAAATAACCTGTCAAACCGAACAAGCCATTCCTTCAATCACTTTCTGAATTACATCTTGTCTCTTTATGTTTTCTCCCATGAACAAAACCTCTGTTGCTTAAAGCTGTCCCAGTATCCTGCAGCCCTGACTCTGCTTGAAGGTTTACATTGTTTGCACCTCCCTGAAGATTTCAATATCCACTCCGTGAGTGAGATTCAAGTCTTAGAACAACCCTCAAAATGTACTGAACAGCTTCCTTGTATAATGCAAGTGCAGTTGCCATTTTGGGATTTTGTGAGACTTTGGCACTGCATTACAGTCTACAGCATGGAGAAAGGCCCTTCAGCTCATCAAGTCTGCACCTGTCAAGACCAACCAACTCACTATTCTAATCCCATTTTCCAGCACTTGGCCAATAGCCTTGCCGCCTTTGCATCACAGGTATCTATTTTAAATATTCATTTAGTCTCACGTTCCTTCTCTTGGTCAGTGAAGTCCTGTCTGTTTCATGACTCTGAGTGGCCCGACAAACAATGGTTGCATTGATGGTCATCTTCCAGGATTCTATAAACTCTGGAACAACTTCCTACAGATTGGAGCGTAGCTTATGTAACCCCACTATTTAAGAAGGGAGACAAAGAGAAAACTGGGAATTATAGACCAGGAAGCCTGATGTCGGCAGTGGGAAAAATGTTCGAGTCCAAGATAAAAGAATTAACAGCAGGCCACTTGGAAAACAGTGATCAGATTGGTCAGAGTCAATGTGGATTTATGAAAGGGAAATCATGCTTTAAAAATTATCTGGAATTCTTCAAAGGTGTAACAAGTAAATTTGATGAGGAGCAGCCAGTGGATGTGATGATACTTAGACTTTAAGAAGGTTTTGATAAGATCCCACACAAGAGATTAATGTGCACAGGATTATGAGTAGTGTATTGAGATGGTTAGAAAACAGGTTGGCAGACAGGAAACAAAGAAGGGAATAAAAAAAGGGAATAATTTCTGAAGAAGGGTACAGTCCCAAAACGTCAGCTTTCCTGCTCCTCTGATGCTGCTTGGACTGCTGTGTTCATCCAGCTCTACACCTTGTTATCTCAGGGAATAAATATGTCTTTTTCTGAATAATGGGCAGTGGCTAGTGGGATACCACAAGGATCAGTTCTCAGACCCCAGCTATTCACAGTGTATATTTGTGATTTAGATGAGGGAACTACATTAATATCTCCAAGTTTGCAGATGACACAAAGCTGGCTGAGAGAATGAGCTATGAGGAGGATGCAGAGATGTTTCAGTGTGATTTGGACAGGCTGAGTGAGTGGGCAAATGCATGGCAGATGCAGTATAAAGTGGACAAATATGAGGTTATCCAGTTTGGAGCAAAAACAGGAAACAGACTATTATCTGAACGGCTTGAAATTGAGAGTGGGGCAGGGACTGTGTAACAAGATCTTGG